GAGTGAGTTGCAGGCCACGTTGATCGTGGACCCTTAGAACGTACTCCCGCCCCGGGCTGCACCCCCTCTACTCCCGGCCCTGCTGGAGAGCTATGTCCGTGGCCGAGTCGTGCGTGGGCCTGCGCCTGGGTATGTGCGTCCTGCGCCCGCGGTGGTGGCGCGGCAGGGTCCGCTGGCCATGGGGACCCCTGGCGCACGTGTCGGGGCGGATGGGCGGGAGGCCGGAGTCCTGCTCCACACCGTGTATGGTGCCGTCCTCTTTCCCCCGCAGGAACTCCCGGTCCGGCCGGCTCGTGACCGCTTGTGTCCCCTTCTCCCTCAGGGCATGGGGGGGTGAAGATGGGCGTAGACGGTGGCCCGGTGCCCGGATCTCCTCTGGCTCTCTGCGGCGTCTCTCCCTGCACTGCCGGCAGTTGATCACGGTGGCCCGGCCTCCCAAGGGAAGTGGTAACCCGCTGAATTTGAAGCACGAAGTCGGTCTAACGATGAGAGACCAGGGAGGAGCCTGCCTCCGGATGGGGCGCGGCGAGTGTGGCGTCGGGAGGCCCAGTCCCGGGGCCGCTGGGGCCTCCTGGCCAGTGGGGCCTTCCCGGTGTCAGGTCGCTTGGGACGCAGAGCGCCTGGTTAGGGTCCACTTGAGGCTCAAGCGGCGTGAGGCCGACCGCGGAAAACAGGTGCGGAAGTTGAAAAGCACTCGGGAAGGGCACCGGAGAGGGCCCGAAGCGCGGCGCAGGGAAGCGGGAGAGTGCACAGCCCGCCCGGCGCACCCCTCCCGCCCAGGGGCTCCGTGGTAGCCCAGGTGCGCCCCGCCCTGGTGGTGGCTGAACCACGGGCTGTCGTGCTGTTCCCCGAGGGGCGCCCGAGGAGATTGGTGCCGCGTGAAACAGAGAAAACTCTAGAGCCGAGTTTTCGGCTGCTCTGGTTCCTGTGTTTTGGTGTTGGTGTGGCTGGCTGTGAAAAACTTTGCTGTGTGTAATTAATAAGGACCGATGAGAGCCAAGAAGGTTTAGCAGTAAAGGTCATCCTCAATTGGGTTAGGGTTAGATGTGCCATCTCAGTATGAATACATGAGGCAATCCCTACTTAATCCAGACGTCCCCTTCCTTGGGGACAGTTTTAATAAAGCTGTTCAAGGGGTGCCTGGGTGGCTCAGTTGGTTGGGAGTCCAAGTCCTGATTTTGGCTCAGGAGCCTGTTGGGGATTCGTTCCCTCCCCTGCTCTCCATCTCTTAAAACAAACTTTTAAAAGAATAAAAATGATCTGTTCGAAAGTAAAAAGGGTGGGGCGCCTGGGTGGCGCAGTCGGTTAAGCGTCCGACTTCAGCCAGGTCACGATCTCGCGGTCCGTGAGTTCGAGCCCCACATCAGGCTCTGGGCTGATGGCTCAGAGCCTGGAGCCTGTTTCCGATTCTGTGTCTCCCTCTCTCTCTGCTCCTCCCCCGTTCATGCTCTGTCTCTCTCTGTCCCAAAAATAAATAAACGTTGAAAAAAAAAATTAAAAAAAAAAAAAAAAAAGTAAAAAGGGAAAGGGTAGCCTACTGAGCCTGAACCACCCATGTTAACCCAGCGCTTGGGGCCAAGACCAACTCCTTTTGTGATTTCACTTCAAAAAGAAGTATGTACACCTCCGTGGACGTAATCTTGTGGAAGGGCATTTAAGTTCCAAGTGCATATTCAATTATACTCAGAACTTGTTAAAAGTGGGTGTGCGCCGTGAGTCCATTCTTAACACACTGCCTAATTTATAGTTGTGATACCTCTGGCCTGGTGGTTCCTTATGATCTTGTGATGCGCTCACCCAAAAACCATTGGCGGGAGGGGGGAGGTTAGAATAGGATTTGTATGACTCCGTGTGACTCGTGGTATGGCTCACAGCATAGCGGCAGGGCTCTGAGGGGGGTCTTGGGTTTGGTGGATTTCACTTGTCACTGGTAATTTCAGGGAGAAGACGGGGTATCTGCCCACCAGAAGTGGGCGTGTGGGTCTGTGGGTCGTCAAGGTATTTGCTGGCAGAAAGGATGCTATCGACAGCTTTTATACAGGGGTAGCAACTTAAAAAGTAAGCATTAAAGATTTTGTACCTAAGTATTACGATTGCAAGAAAAGAAGGTATGCCTTATTGGTTGTTCTTGCCACTGTTGGAAACAAGCAAAACCGGCCTCAGAATTCGAATTGAAGGTTATAATCACACTGTGTGAACAATCCGGTGAAGACAAACAGGGGAAGAACTTGCTGCTGTGAAGGGGCTGAATTTAGGAACCAGTAACAGATCATAAGCTTCTAGTTCTGGAATCATCTCCACATTGTTCCTGAGTTGATGACTCCCATTTTGAGTGCGATTTTCCTGGTGTGAAACCAGGGAGTAAGGAAGGGAGTGAGGCAGGCAGGCAGTCTGCTGCAATGTTATTTTTCTTAGTTTTAGAAAGGCCATCATGTATACAGAAATCCCAGTGGGAAACCAAATGCTAATGCGTTTCTTGCAAGAATTCCCCGGTGTGTGTGAAATTTTTTTCTTGAACATGCTTACCAGTCTTCCATTTCATGGTCTGGGGATAAGAATTTCTCGGGGCGCCTGGGTGGCTCATTCAGTTGAGTGTCAGACTTCGGCTCTGGTCTGGATCTCACTGCTCGTGGGTTTGAGCCCTGTTTTGGGCTCTGTGTTGTCAGCTGGGAGCCTGCAGCCTACTTCGGATTCTGTCTCTCTCAAATACATATAAACGTTAAAATTTTTTGTTAAGAATTTCAGGTTTTTACCTAAGACAGTAGTAGTTCTGTGGGTAATCTGTTAAAGTCTACAGTATTTTTAGTGGCAACATTGTTGCAGAGTCCCCACTGACTTTGAAATGATTTTTTCGTGGTGGTAATGGGCTACAGGGTCAGTAATATAGTAGGAGCAAGGCAATAAACAACGAATGGGGAAGGTTCAAAGAGGTTCAGCAAAACGTACATTTGAAGTTTTATTTGTGGTGATCAGCAAGCGCATAGGTAAGTGGGGTAAGCAAAATCATGGTACATCCATACAGAATAGCATTCAGCAATAAAAAAATGAGCTCTCTCAAAATTATTCAGCATAAAGGAAACCACAATTTAAAAAAGTAAAACATTTGACTCTAATCATGTAAAAAATACAAAATAATTTACTGTGCAGGGTAGAGGTTTAAAAAGGGCACAAAATAAAAGGAGTTATATAGATTTATTACCACCCATGGTTTTGTATACAATTTAAATATGTGCAGTTTTACAGCATGTTAATTATACCTCAATAAAGCTTTTTTTAAAAATCAAATAGAGGTCTGGGTCCCCTATATTTTTGCACAAGAGTCCGCCATCCTTCCTCATGCCTGGGGAAGGGATGCCCTGCATCAAAGAAGAGTTTCAAGGTCATTTCTATCTGGGTCAGCAACTGGTCAGAAAAGCTACAGATCTCAGTGGGATTTTCTAATCCTATTGCCATTTTCTTGCCTACGCAGCAAATATCTGTGAGATGGGCTAAAAATTAAGATTGGCACGATGGCCTCGATTTCCACAACTATAGGAGGAACACTGGTGTGGAGTGTACAAACCAGCATGTCCGTGGACGCAAGTTTTGTTAGATGTTTATATATCCTAAGTCCTGCCATCTTCTGTTTCTGTACAATCACGGGTTTTCAACCTGGCTCCTATCGTAGTTTTACAACCAGCCAATGACACCAGAAAGTGAACTTTACACATGAAGGCACATGATTCCTTTGCAGTGCTCGGGAACAGCTTCCCCATGATAATGCTCGACATCGTGCGACAGCCCTGGGAAAGAGGAACCACTCTCGCGGGAGCCCTACAGGTGGTCAGAAGAGAAATACGATGTCCTCGTGGTGCACTGCAAGGAGGTCTAGAAGGTAAACAGTATTTTCATTTCAACCCCTTGGCACTGTCAAAACTGGGTCAGAACCCGAATGAGGAAGAAGGGACTTGCTGTGTTACATGCCCCCCCACCCATCACTGACAGTGGTTGAGAAAGGACCTCTGCCCTGAATGAGGAACCTGGCAGAGCAGAGTAAGAATATGCAGGGCTCCCAGAAGCTTCCCCACAAACCTAGGAGTTTTGGGGGATCTCCCCAGTGTGGACGTTCACACGTGTGTGACGTTCAATTGCCAAGAGCTGGCTCCCTCACAAGGTCTCTAGTTCTATGAAATGCCATATTCTGGGCAGGACCTTCTGGGGCCCAACAAGGCCGGACGTTTAGATGAAGGCTTTCCACCGACATCTGCTGCACATATGTAACATATATGTAGCTTACGAGCCATTTCCCCACAGTTGTTGAGCTCATGAGGTTATCTGGTGTGAAGTTTTCGGTGCTGAATGATGTGGGAGCTTTGGCTGAAGGATTTCCCACATTCCCCACACTCGTAAGGCTTTTCTCCTGTGTGGACTCTCCGGTGCTGAATGAGGTTGGACTTTTGGCTAAAGGATTTCTCACACTCATTGCACTTATAAGGTCTGGCTCCAGTGTGAATTCTCTGGTGTTGATTGAGAGTGGACCTGTGGCTGAAGGATTTCCCACATTCACCACACTCATAAGGCCTTTCTCCGGTGTGAATGCGCAGGTGCTGAACAAGTTTGCATTTGTAGCTGAAGGATTTTGCACATTCGTTGCATTTGTAAGGCCTTGCTCCACTGTGAATTTTCTGGTGTTGAATGAGGTTGGAGCTTTGGCTGAAGGAATTCCCACACTCGCCACACTTGTAAGGCTTCTCTCTCGTGTGAACTCTCTGGTGTTTAATGAGGGTAGAGCTGTAGCTGAAGGCTTTCCCGCATTCGCTACATGCATAGGGTCTCACTCTGGTGTGAATTTGCAGGTGCTGCACAAGCCTGAATTTGAAGCTGAAGGCTTTTCCACATTCGCTGCACTTGTAAGGCCTTGCGCCAGTGTGAATTCTGTGGTGTTGAATGAGGTTGTAGCTTTGGCTGAAGGATCTCCCACATTCGTTGCACTCGTAAGACCTTGTTGCTGGGTAAGCTCTCTGGCAATTACTCAGGATGGAGCTTTGGTTAAAAGGTTTCGCACAGTTCTCCCAGGCATGGGAACTTTCTCTAGGGTCAAGCTGCTGAGGCTGGAAGAGTTTATTATAGTCACAGCTGAATGATTTCCCATAGTCGCTGCATGTGTGCGGACTTTTTCCGCCCTGAAAGGACTCCCCGTGCTCGAAGCTGCTGTGTGGTTTTGCCCCTTTGAGAGTGGCCTGATGCTGGAGGAGACTCAATATGGCCAGGAAGTCCTTCCCTATCTCCCCGCAGGGGAAGGGCTTCCCTGACACGTGCAACTTGTAGCTTGTCACAACCTCCATGTCCCAACTGAATGGCTTCTCTTCGTTGTGCTTCTGGTGCTGGTGAAGGCTTGTGCTGAACCACAACTGCTTCCCGCATGCCTCACAGGTGTAGGATTTCTGGCCCGGATGTGGTCCTTGGTCCTCTGCCAGGTACAGAATCTCTCTCCCAACCAAGACACACTTCTCGCAGGGATGAGCTTTCCACACGGGTGGACCTGGATCTGTAGCCTTGCCCAGTGACATTCGTGGCACAGAAAGTGCCTCCTCGTCCTCCATTCCGTACCAGCAACCTGAAAGCCCAGAGACGCTGGTGTGAAGTGCATGCTATCTTTGGTGGAAGGGGAGGGCTCAACACAAATATCTGTCGGGCACACTAAAGAACGAGTCCACTGGATGTGTTTTCAAGATGAGGGTGCTGGGGTCGGGTTGGTAAAAGGGCTGCAGTCCTGGAACTCTAATGTCACAAGACTGGGGGTGGGGGGGCAGCAGCACAGGAAGAAGCAGGTTCTCCAATGCACCCCTGCCGCTGGCCTGCAGCTGGGAGTGCTGTGTGGGAGTTTATGTCCAGGCACCAGAACATCTGGTTGCAACTGACTAGATGGTATTCAAAGACTAAGGACGCGTAACCTAACATTGGGAACAGTAGAGAAGAAAGGTTGATGTATGGAAGATGGAAACAGCAAGGGACAAAACCTGAGGAAGGGGGAAGGAAAAACAGAAATGACGTGTGCGACCACTGGCATAAATACACCGGTGGGCCATCCTGCTAAGACCGTGGACTCTTCTAAACCCCGGGTGAGCGAAGCGGGACTTGGATGACACAAATCCCTGAGGCAAGGACAGGCAGGGACTAGCAATGCCCCAGAGCAATTCTGCACACGACCAAAAACTGGCAACAAAAATAATACTGTGTGTACAAACAGTCCCTGGTCCTCCAAGCAACTGCTGCCAGAGACCAGAAGAAACATGAGCTAGAAGGAGGGGAAAAACCTGGGCAGGGGCCACGGATGTGGACAACAGTGCTGGATGCTGATGTTGTGGGCTCAGCAAGAGGGCAGTTGCTGAGCCCGGCCCTGGTGATGGCAGTCCCTACAATCTCTACAACCCAAATGTGAGGGGCAGGATACCATGGAGTGGGGGTGAGGGTCTTACCCAGTGAGATCACAAGTGCAAAGTTCTCCAGCATCACATCGTGGTACAGGCATCTCTGAGTCTCATCAAGGAGACCCCACTCCTCCCAGGAGAAGTACACGACCACGTCTTCAAAGGTCACAGTATCCTGTCGTAATGGGGGAGAGATGAAACTACAAACAGTCCCCTCTCCACAGGACCCACACATCTATCCCACACTCATCCTCCTCGCAGGCCGCCCGACTGAGAGGAGATACCAAGCCCTGCTGCCAGTAAATCACTATGTCCAACCCTCTACAAGAACAAGGACGATGTGGGCAGACAGACATAATCTTAAGCTCGGGTGGGCATGGCCTCGCCAGCCCCCAACCAGGCAATGTCCCTGAAATCCTCCACAGTGTACCGGCCAGGTACAACCAAAGATAGACTCCACCCTCCCACCTAAGTCCCTGATACTGAAGGCCTGGGGGGGGGGGGGGGGGGTCCCTCAGTTCACACACCTCTTTTACCCCGTAAGTGCCTCTCCCTAGTACTGAGCCCACAGCATCCAGAGTACTTGGCAAGATGGACCCCACTTTCCAGGGCAACCTCAAATCCACTATGAAGACCTGCCTTTCATTGTATGTGTTCCAATTTCCTCTTCTTTTAAGGATACTACTAATCGTATTGGATTTAGAGCCTCACTTTACAAGGTCTTTAAAGACCCTGAGAGCTCCATGAGAGCTTGCCACAAATAAGCAGCAGCCTGCTCATGTCCACTCTTCCCCTGAAAGTCTTCTGTCCCTTACCCGTGTTTGAGAGGCCACTTGCTCCAAGAAACAGGTTCGAACTCAGTGCCCAAATTCCTGGCCTCTTAATAATGTTATTGCCATAATCAGAATTTCCCTTCCTAAATGCAACACAAAGCACCACCTACACATCTAATGTTGAACCACCTCAAATTTTTAGACTTTATATCCAGCTGCCCACTTCGTGCCTGCAGGCAAAGCTTTCTGAGACAAAGAGACAGGGGTGGCCCCTAGGGCTTTATTCTAACTCACTCTCCACAGTAGAAAATCAGATTGGTTCTACCTGAAGAAGGAAGTTAAAAATCCAACAACTCCCCTTACCTCCATGGCCACAATTTACATCTACGTAGCCTCCCCGCTAACCTTCCCGGTATGTTTTCTGCAGCTACGAAGCATGGGTAAGAGAAGATCGAGACCATCAGAACGAAAGAACATTTGCATTTCTCTGGATACTCACAGCTCCGGCAAACGGGTAGCTGTGCCCCAGGACAACCTCATCTTACCGCTAGAATGGAGAAGGCCTCCCCCCACATAACCTCTAGTTTAATGTCTCTCCAGGGTCCTGAACACCCTCTTACTTCGATACGTTCTAAAAGTACTTCATCTGTAGAGGGTGGGGCTCAACGATATCTGGTCTCCACTGTTCCTCTGACCCCCCACTCCCACCCCTGGCCTGTAAGTCTAGGCATGACTCTGCCTCATATTCTGCTTACGCACGCACAAAACTCACACCTCGGTTTGGAGCTTGCAAGCGGGTGCTCAGACACGTGGCCCCCGCCCACGAGCGCCTCCCTGTCCGGGACCCCGGGGTCTGGACCGCAGGGAAGCCAGCGGGTGCCCAGAGCTGAGGCCCAGGGGCTGTGCATTTACCTGAGCTGAGTCCCTGGGCGCGGCTGCCGCCATCGGACTCTGTGGGCAGAGCAGGGCTGGGAGCGGTCCGGCGTCTCAGACCCTCCTCTGAGCAGTGGGGACACCTCCTCTCGGGCCGCTGCAGTCCTCACCTCGTCTCGACCCAGCACTCTGGAGCCTCTGACCAGGAAATGGATTCGAGAGCTGCCAAAATGACTGCCACCAGGACCCCGCAAGTTCCACCCTGAGGAGTTGGCACACGTGGAAACGCCCGTCTCCTGGACCTTCATTGGCTCCACGCTGACGTCGCTTGGTGCAGGGTCCTCTGGGCAGTGTGGTTCTCACAGCTACGTGGGCCTCTGCGAAGGGCACCGCACATCAGAACCTCCTGGAACACAGGTGAAGCAGCTTTGCTCCTCAACAGGCCAGGCCAGGTTCCTGGGGAGTTGCCGGCAACTGCTCACCTAAAGGGTTAGCAACAATGATGCTGCTTCAGACTTCATGAAGTCCATGTGCTCCCAGAGGCGACAAGTTCTACCCCAGATGCCCCCAAAGGTTACAGATCCAAACGCACACAGCATTCCATTGTCACTCACATAGCTTGTGGGACCTCATCTGCCATGGTTTTGTTTTCTCAAGGGTCACCGCCCAGTCAGTGCTTTTTTCCAACACCCGAAGGCCATGGATTCTGGTATTTGGTCCAGTTTTACAGCCACTTACAGAGGAGTATGACGGAGACCATTATAGCCTCACACACTTGGACATGAAAGGGATTCCAAGGCTTTCCAAGCCCAATTCTCCATGCAGAACTTTCTCCACACTCTGCAAATGTTATTAGGGTTCTCAAGAGATGTGGGTTATAAAACAGAAGGCTCCAAAGCGAATTCTATGTCACGTTAGAGATTTGACCGACACCAGTTGTGCTCACTAGCTCCTACGGCTTTACGTAGCACCTACCGTAAGAGGATTACCTATGCAAGGACTGAGAAGAGAGAACAGAAAGACAGGAGCACCGTGCACGAGTACTCACTTCTGTAGAGGTAGTTCTGAGTTACTCCGTGTGTCTGAGAAAGCAGCAAATAAAACTGTATATTTTATCTATGTAGGGGGCTTAAACAGATAAAGATATAGACTCATTAAGGATATTTTGATGTATATACTCCTGAATTGAGTTGGCAAAGAACATGATTTGTGATTTGATAGTTACATTTTTTTTTTTT